TGTGTGTGTGTGTGTGTGTGTGTGTGTGTGTGTGTGTGTGTGTGTGTGTGTGTTGTGGGTTTTTTGAGACAGGGTTTCTCTGCCTGTAGGCATACTTTTCTTTCCCACCAGCCAGTCCCAAATAACTGACACAGAGACTCAATATTAATTATGAATGCTTGACTAACAGCTCAGGTATGTTACTAGGTATCTCTTACATTTTAAATTAACCCATATTTCTTATCTACGATTTGCCATGTGGCTTGGTACCTTTTCTCAGTTTGGCATGCCTGTCTTGCTTCTCTCTGAGTCTGCTGAGACTCCAGACTCCACTCTTCCTCCTCCCAGCATTCTTAGTTTGGCTCTCTCCTGCCTACCCTTATCCTGTTCAGCTATTGGCCAGTCAGCTTCTTTATTAAACAAATCCCAGTGACATGTTCACACAGTGTAAAGGAATATTCCACATCTGCCTCACAAGTTTTTGAGATTAAAGGCATGTACCACCATGCCTGGCAAGAATTCTTGAAATTGGGTATGGTAGTGTACATCGATAATCTCAGCACTCTGGAGGCAAAGGCAGATGGCTCTCTCTGAGTTTGAGGCCAGCTGGAGCTACATAGTGAGATCCTATCTCAAACAAAACTCACAGACTGTCTCAGGTGTCACATCAGAAAAGTTTCCATCAGAGCTCTAGTATTGCTGGTTTTAAAATGTGTTATATTTTGTAGGTTATAATAAAGGAGAAAGACCCTGGGAAATGTAGTGTCAAAAACTCAGAGGATTGCTTTTCATAATTTTGTAATGGAAATGAACAAATCGGAAGGCCTCCTAGCTGGCATTACATCAGATGAGCTACCTCCCACTGATTGAGACAGCCCAGTTTGTGTTACCTAATGGTTAGAATTAAAGCGAGACCACTGGGGGCTACATTGCTCTTTTTCTTTGAACATTTAGTCTAAAATTGGGCTGTTGTGCATGTAAAGCAAGCACATCTTTCTTATAAGCTGAAAGTGAGTCTCCACCATATTAAAGATGTTGGTGTCCTTTTTTGGTTTTTCTCTGTGCAGCCCTGCCTGTCCTGGAACTCAGAGATCCACCTGTCTCTGCCTCCCAGGTACTGGGATTAAAAGTGTGTGCTACCACACCAGGCTGCCAAGGCTGGGCCTTTTTTAAAATGTTTGTGTCTTGTTTATTTCCTAGTATGGGAACTTCTTTAAAAACAAATACCCACTGTGAAAACTGAGGAGGCCTTGTTGAATTAATGAATTAAACAAGTGCAGACTGTCCAAACAAGTATGGAGAAAGCACATGCTGGTTCTCATTCTTAACATTCTAAGACCTAGCCAGGTAGTGGTGGCTTATGCCTTTAATCCCAGCACTCAGGAGGCATAGGCAAGTGAAACCCTATGAGTTCAAGTCCAGCCTGGTCTACAGAGAGAGTTCATGACAGGCAGGGATACACAGAGAAACTGTCTTGGGGGAAAGTAAAATTAAGACCTAATGATTTAACATTGATTATTTTAAAAATTTAAGAGCTCAAAAATTACTTTTCAAATAATCTAAATGACTACTTTATTTTTATATAGGAAACTGAGGCCCAAAGTAGGTGAGTTGGCTGTGTTTTCATTTCATTGGACTGAATTAATAGAAATGGTGAACCCAGACCCAGATTTTACACCTGACTTAGGGTACCATGGTTTTTCTATTCTTGTTCCACACCTGTGCTTTTATCCTTCTCTGGACTTAAAAAGCTATGGGTTTTCTTGGTTGGATGGGTGAGTGTGTGTTTGAAAAATCTGTAAATCTGTGGAGAGCTCGCCCTCTAGTGCTCACTTAACTACAATTCAAGCACTTACCTAGTGAATTTTTTTCTTATCAAGAGACTTCCTATAACATACAGGAAACAATATACAAATGGAGAGGTGTGGCCGGGCGGTGGTGGCGCAAGCCTTTAATTCTAGCTCTCAGGAGGCAGAGGCAGGCGGATGGATGCCTGTGAGTTCAAGCCCAACCTAGTCTACAAAGTGAGTTCCAGGACAGCCAAGGCTACACAGAGAAACCTATCTTGAAAAACTAAATAAATAATAAATAAATAAAGTTGGAGAGGTATGATGCTTTGTGAGAAACTCCCTCAGTGTGCTTTCCCTCACTGCTGTGCTCACCTCACATACTGTTTTTGTCCTTATTTTTTATAGTCTGTTACAAACTTTTGTCTGACTACTTGTTTTCAATCATGTATAATATTTTATTGCAAATTTCACACAACCCATGTAAACAAAAGTGTCTGGAGATCTTGCTGATTTATTTTATTCTTTTAAAGACCCCCCCCCATTTCTTCTTTTAATCCTAGAGATTTTGGATCTAGGCACAGAATTATGCCCCAATCATGGGTGTCTTCTTTTTCTATTAGTAACTGACTTTTCAGGCTCAGTGGCCCATTCCTGTAATCTCAGTTCTTTATAAGCAAGGGACAGGAGGATCACCAAAAGTTCAAGGATCGCCTGAGCTTCATAGTCAGTTCCAGGCCATCCTGGATACCAAGTGAGACATCTTTCTCAGAAACAAAAGAAAACAAAACAAAAAAATCAATGAAAATCATCCTTCCATCACAGTACTATTTACAAAGTTGCCTTTTCTAGAAGCGGGTACTCTTAGTTGAAGAAGATGACCTCGAAGGTATTGGGGGTAGGAAGAGTGTTGGGAAGGCAGATATGAAGTAGTAACAAGATACAGTGGTATGTGCATGTGAAAGAGATAGAATAGAGGCGGCTGGAGAGATGGCTCAGAGGTTGGGAGCATTGACTGGTCTTCCAGAGGTCCTGAGTTCAATTTCCAGTAACCACATGTTGGCTCACAGCCATCTATAATGAGATCTAATACCCTCTTTTAGTGTATAGGCAACCATGCAGACAGAACACTGTATTCGTAATAAATAAATAAAATCTTTAAAAAAAAAAAAGTTTTTAAGTTGAAATATTTTCACCTACCCTGTAGAGTACTATTCATTTTTGTTAAAATATTTATTCAACAATTTGTGTGTGTGTGTGTGTGTGTGTGTGTGTGTGTGTGTGTGTAAAATTTGTCCTTATATTATTCACCTCCCAACTCTTCCAGCACATGTTCCTCTCACCTTTATCTCCTCCTCTTCTTCCTCCTTTTCTTTTAAATGACCCACCACGTCCAGTTAGTGCTGCCTTCATGAGCATTAGCCATATCCCAGAAATCAAATGGCTTCCACCTCCTCCAGCAGCCGTCAGTTGCCAGTCACTTCTCAGCTGGTGGTGGAGCTTCATAAACACCTCGCTCGCTCATGTTGGAGTACTGACTGGCTTGATTCTGTGCAGGTAACTAGCTGCTGTAAGTCCCTGAGTACAGTGGCCATTTCATATCTAAACGATGGTGTCTTTCCCCATCCTCCAGTGCTTACATTCTTTCCTCACCTTCTTCCTTGGTGGTCCTTGAGTCCTGCTGGAGGTAGCGATGTCCCAATAAGGGGGACATACTCAGCAGTCACTTATTCCCAGAACTTTGAAAGTTATTAAGTCTCTCAGAAACTTCTCTGGCCAAAGTTGAGAGCATTAATATATGGGTATAAACATACAATTTAGAAGGCAGTTTGAAGTGTCTTTAGCAAAACAGCAGTAGTAGGTTTCCCACTTAGGGCCAGTTTCCTCTCCAGCCATGAGGTTTTGACCAGCACTGCTCAGGCCTTTTTGTACAAGCTTCACATAACTTGAGGCAACAGTTATGCATGTTGTGTTGTAATTTTAGTTTATAATTTTTCCCAGCCTAGATAACAATCTTGGATTTTACTTTCTGCTAAAAAAATCAGAATCAAGTTGAAGGCAGTACTTAGCAAAGTTTTATGGTGCATTCCTATAATCCCAACACTTGAGAGGCTAAGGTATTAGGACCACGAGTTTTAGACCAGCCTGTCTTAAAAAGTAAAACAAGTTGAAGGTAGTCTCTTAGTTTCCCTATGTACTTTTCCCCACCTTTTTGAGTCAGAGTCTCATGTATCCCAAGCTAGCCTTGAACTCACAGAGATCATCTGCCTCTGCCTCTCTGCCTATTTAGTACTAGGGCTAAAGGTGTGCAGCACCAAGCTCAGCTATAATCTCTTTCGGTGAAGCTCTAAACTCAGCTAAAACAAAAAGTAAACACATAAATTATGCCTGTAATTTTAGCACTTGAAAAGTAGAGGCAGGAGCTACATCATCCCAAGCTACAAAGCAGTTCCAGGCCACCTTGTGCTACATGACACCTTAGCTTGAAGCGTGAACCTCATTAGTCTTAACAATAAAAACCCAGAGTCAGATATTAGAGTGAAAGATCAGAGAAGCAGAGCAGCAGCTACTTGAGAGTTCTTACCTCTACCAATCCTCAGACTGAATGGGGGTGATCCTGTCTCTAACTCCCTAATGCTGGGATTAAAGGCATGAGCCTCCCATGTGCAGGGATCAAAGACTTGAGCCTCTCAAGTGCTGAGATCAAAGGCGGGCACCACCACCACCACCACCACCACCACCACCACCACCACCACCATCACCACCACCTCCTGGCTCTGTTTCTCTTTTAGACTGGATCAATCTTGTGTAGCCCAGGGTGGCCTTGAACTTCTGATCTTCCTGCTTCCTCCTCCCAAGTGCTAGGATTAAAGGTGTGTGCCACCACTGCTTGGCCTCTGGTTAACTAGTGGCTAGCTCTGCCCTCTGACCTCCAGGCAGGCTTTGTCAGAACACAAACAAAATATCCTACAGTACTAGCTCTGTAAAACAAGAACAGTAAATGATAAGATGTCTGTGATGAGCCATAACTGGTAAATTCAAAATAGATGCATATACTAGTATTCAGTTGACATCCAAAGATGTTTTTTCAGGTGAAATAACAAATTTCTGGGGTTGCAGATTTAGCTTAGTGGTAGAGTGCTTGCCTAGCAAGCACAAGGCCTTGGGTTTGATCCTCAGCTCAAAACAACAAAAAACAACTTTCTGTGAACTTTTTCTGCAGTTAGTAATTTATCTTCCCATTTCAAAGGAGAGAAAAAACTAACAACTTGTTTTTTAGTCAAGTTCCAAGGATAGTAGCTTGTTTTGTATATCCATAGAAGTCACCTTAGTATCAAACTTGCTGGGTTTTTAAGTGGTTATGGGTTTTACATGGAACAAATGGAAACCAAGAAGTGATTGTTCTCTGCTGACTTGAAACTGAACTGTTTTTGTTTTTTTGGGTTTTTTGTTGGTGGTGGTGGTGGTGTTGATGTTGGTGTTGGTTTGGTTTGGTTTGGTTTTTGTTTTTTGGTTTTTCCAGACAGGGTTTCTCTGTGTAGTTTTGGTGCCTGTCCTGGATCTCACTCTGTAAATCAGGCTGGCCTGCAGAGAGAGTTCCAGGACAGCCAGGGATATCACACAGAGAAACCCTTCTGGGAGTGGAGGCAGGGGGTGCTAAACATGTGTGCCAGGCATTCTGCAGCTTGTGTCTTTGGAGGCCTAGACAGTGGGGACGGACGATTTGAAAATAGCTTCAGCTGCCCAGTCTGCTGCTAGCTTTCCCTTATGGTAGCCAAAGGGTAACTGCAGCTCATACGTTACAAGTCCTGATTCGTTTGTGTAGTGTCTCACGTTCAGATAGGTAACAATGCTGAGTAAGGAGCGGTTTACCCACTGTCTAGCATTAGGCCTTGGTCTTAATTTAGAATTTGCTCTTCACTTGCTATTTACTTGTTAACAACAAAGGAAGGCCACCCACTGTTTTTCAGTTTTGATCTAAAATATTATTCCTGGTTTAGGTATACAAAGATTAGTAAGCACAGTCTTTCCAAAGCAGAAGGGCTTGGGGGGATTACTTGGTTTTAAAGCTCTTTCTGCTGTAATAACTGCAAACATAATGTGTGATCTGTCTTCCCTCTTAGAGCAAAGCCGGCGAGATGATTTGGAAGCCCTGGGCCATATGTTCATGTACTTCCTCCGAGGCAGCCTACCCTGGCAAGGACTCAAGGTATCCTTGAAAGTGCTTTCTCTCTCTGCTCAGGTGGTAAGGAAAGGGCTGCTGGCTTGGTGTCTCTAAAAGCACAAAGGGGAAGGTCGGCTTCACAGACGAGAGGCAGGGATCAGTGACATTAGTCACTCTAAGTGTTCACCTGGGCCTTGGGAGCTGCAGTCTGTTCACAGTTGGCTTCCTCACCTTTTTATCTTAATCCTGCCTCTCTGTGTTTGGGTTTCCATCATCCTCCCCTCACTCCCTCCCGGCCTTGGCCATGCTGTTTTCTCTGCATGTTGGTGTCCCTCCTCCACTATCATTATGTTGCCGGAGGAGTGTTCCCAGGGTATCAGGGAAGTTCTAGAACAAATTGATGACAGCAGCTGCTACACATTTACCAAAAAAGCCAGCATGGTTTTCCAAGCTCCTAAGGTGAACTGGAAAATATTTATTCATCCTCCATAGACAAAGGACTCAACTAAAATAGCAGGAAAAAATGGAGGTTTAACATTGTTGTTCAAATACATTGGTAAATAAGTAACTAAATAATAGCCATGTCTTACAAACATATAGTTTTAGTCACTTTTTTTTTTTTTTCTCAAGACAGGGTTTCTCTGTGTAGTTTTGGTGCCTTTCCTAGATATTGCTCTGTAGACCAGGCTGGCCTGGAACTCACAGAGATCTGCCTGCCTCTGCCTCCCAAGTGCTGGGAATAAAGGCATGTGCCACTATTGCCTGGCTGAAATAACTTTTCCTAAAGCCCTTTATATAATTTGAGGTATTCCTACACCTCCTTCCTCCAAGTAGGCAGAATAATTCATTTTCCTATGCTGTCTAGGACATTTTCTCTGATTGAACACAAGGCCTTGTACATGCTAGGTACGTGTTCTTTCTCTAAGCTACAGCCAGAGCTCTATTCTCTTAAAAAAAATTTTTTTTTTCTTAAATTTCTCTCCTGACACCTCTCATCCATAATCCTCAAGTAATGTATGTCTTCTCATTGCTATTGAGTTTTTTCAAATAGCCACACCCTGGTAACCTTTATTTAAAGGATTTTTTCACTTCTTGTCCTTCTGACAATATATATGTATGTGTAGTTTTTCTCTCCTTTGAAATAGAAAAATAAGTTAACAGCAGAAAAGTTGACAGAAATGTGTGAGATTTCATCTGAGAAAACATGTTCTTTCTTTAGATGTCAACCAAATACTAGTATATGCATCTAGTAGGAAATGGAACTGATCATAGAGGGAGAAGGCTGAGTCACTGTTGGCTCTCTCATTGGCCAGGGGAGTCTTCTAAGCTGCTGCAATCTTTAAAATACTGATGCATAACATTTTTTGTTTTCTTCTCCTCTCTGTCCTTCTCACCTGAGAGTACTAAACATATTTTCAAGTGAAACTTTCTAGAAAGCAGCAGAGGTTTATGTATATCTAAATACAGAATTTCTATATATTCTTATTTGTTAAAGAGAAAAAAAATGGATCCACTAACAATTCCTGCCAGTTTGAAAATAACTATTATGGTGGCTAGAGAGGTGCCTCAGTGGTTTAAGAGCATGTACTGCTCTTGTGGAGCACCCAAGTTCATTTCCTAGCACCCACATCAGTTAGCGCACAGCACCTGTGACTCTAACTTCAGGGAACTGGTGGTGTTTCTGGCCTCCTTGGGCACATATTCTACATATAGATACACAAATAATTGAAAGTAAAGTCTTGAAAAGAATAACCCCAGTGCCTGAGAACATGTTTAAACTTAACTGACTTAGTATGTTTTTCCAGATAATTTTCTTTCTTTACTGTCTACAGGCTGATACATTAAAAGAGAGATATCAAAAAATTGGTGATACCAAAAGGAATACTCCCATCGAAGCTCTCTGTGAGAACTTTCCAGGTAGGATGCTAAAAGGATAATATAGCCAGTGTGACTGACACTTTGAAGTAGGTTATATCACAGTATCTATAAACACCAACGGGTGTTGGCCAGATCATTTACATTTTTTCTTATTATTATTCAGCCCAAGGAAGGTATCACTTTTATTTGGTCCATAAAGAAAACATTAGTGTCAAGTAATCTGTACATATATCTCTTGTATGGCTCAGAGCTAACATCTGGGGCATTCAGCTAATAGGAATGGCTTTTTACCTTTTTCTTAACAGAGGAGATGGCAACCTACCTTCGGTATGTCAGGCGATTAGACTTCTTTGAAAAGCCTGATTACGAGTATTTACGCACCCTCTTCACAGATTTGTTTGAACGGAAAGGCTACACCTTTGACTATGCCTATGATTGGGTTGGAAGGCCTATTGTAAGTATCCTTTTTAAAAAAAAAAAAAAATCTTACTGGGTGGTGGTGATAGTGCACATCTTTAGTCCCAGCACTTAGGAGGTGGAAGCAGCAGATCTCTGTGAGTTTGAAGCCTGGTCTACAGAGTGAGTTCCAGGACAGCCTGTGCTGTCACACAGAGAAACCCCGTCTTGAAAAACCAAAAAAAAAAGCCAAGTGGTGGTGGCGCACACATTTAATCCCAGCACTCAGGAGGCAGAGGCAGGCTGATCTCTGTGAGTTTGAGGCCAGCCTGGTCTACCAAGTGAGTTCCAGGAAAGGTGAAAAGCTACACAGAGAAACCCTGTCTCGGAAAAAAAAAAAGTTTCTCAGGCCGGTACTGCCCCATCTTTTTACTTGCCAGTCCTTCTGCTTATATCTTTGAGGGGAAATCGCTTGCATTTACCAACCTTTTCCAAGGAACACGATGGTTTGCTGTCATTAGAACAATCAATGAGTTATCTGGTTTTTGGATTATGACTTGTGAGGGCTGAAGAGATGGCTCAGCAAGTAAGAGCACTTGCTATTCTTACAAAGGACCAAGGTTCAGTTCCCTGAGTTTGCATGGTGCCTGACAACCATCTGTAACTCCAGTTCAAGGGGATTCAGTGCCCTGCCTTCTTCTGCTCTGTGAGGACCAGACACACATGTGGTGTTCATACACATATTTAGGCAAACACTTATACACATAGAATAAAACAGATCCTCAAAGATTATAATGTATATCCTGAGATACTAGAATTTTTTTTTATTCTTACTTTTATTTTATGTGCGTTGGTGTTTTGCCATAGGTCAGGTCCCCTGGAAATGGAATTACAGACAGTTGTAAGCTGCCATGTGGGTGCTGGGAATTGAACCCAGGTCCTCTGGAGGAGCAGTCAGTGCTCTTAACCACGGAGACATCTCCCCAACCCCAAGATACTACAATTTAAGCCAATTTTTACACATTTCTTTTAACTGATTCACAGTTTAGTTCTGTCTGTGCTATAGAGGAACTTGACTTCTGTAGGAATATAATTCAGCACCTTAGTAAACTTGGATTTAATAGTTCTGGCCAGAGTCCACAGTATCAGAGACTGTGCTAACAGATAATGCTGCAAAACAGTTATTCTACTTCCTAAGGTAGCCTGCTCTCAAATGGATTGTTTAGGACCAGACTACCTTCCCTTCTGCAAATGACCAAATTCGGGAAAACAAGATGATTTGAAAGAAAAACAGCAGTAGGCTGGAAAGATGGTTAGCAATTAAGAGCACTGGCTGCTCTTCCAAACGACCTGGGTTCAATTCCCAGCACCCACGTGGCAGCTCACAACTATCTGTAACTCCAGTCCCAGGGAATCCAACACCCTCTTCTGGCCTCTATGGACACTGCATGTATGTATGTGGTGCACAGACATACATACATGCAACTAAACACCCATACACATAAAAATAAATTTAAATTTTTTTTAGTAAATAAAACAAAAGACTGATTCCCCCTCTGTAAGAATCAACATGCTGCTGCCCTTTGTAGAACGATTACATTAAACTTGTTTCCCCCATTTGGTCTTTTGGGTGGGGGTTTTGGAAACGGTCTTTTTGTTTGTTTGTTTTGTTTGAGACGGGGTCTCTCTGTGTAGCTTTACCCCTTTCCTGGATCTTGCTCTGTAGACCAGGCTGGCCTCAGACTCACAAAGATCCGCCTGCCTTTGCCTCCCAAGTGCTGGGATTAAAGGCGTGTGCCACCACCACCCAGCTTGAAACAGAGTCTTACTGTGTATCTTTGACTGTCCTGGAACTCACTCTATAGACCAAGCTAGCCTCAGATTCACAGAGATCCACCCAACTCTGACTCTGGGATAAAAGGTGTGTGGCACACCATGCCAGGTTACCCATTTGACATTTACTTTAATTTTTCTAGCCTACTCCAGTAGGATCGGTTCATGTCGATTCTGGTGCATCCGCAATAACTCGAGAAAGCCACGCGCACAGGGATCGGCCATCACAACAACAGCCTCTTCGAAATCAGGTATGTGTTAGGTTTTAGTTGTTTTAATCATAACCCTTCTTCATAGCTATTATTAAAACTCAGATTCTCCCTCTTCTCTATGTCAGTTGTTTATGTGGAGTTAAGAAAAACAGCTGGTTTAGTATGACATTGGAGCAACTGTCAGAGCATGGTAAATCTGAGCCTGACCCACCAACTGTGGTATCACATACCTTTATCCTCAGCATTGGGTAGAAGCAGACAAATCTCTGTGAGTTCAAGGCCAGCTCGGTCTGCATAGGGAGTTCCAGGCCAGCCATGGCTGGATAATGAGACTCTGTCTCCAAAAAAGAAAAAAGAATCTGGGCCTGAAGAGATCTCTGGTTTTTAGGAGACCTAATCACTGGCTATGAGTTAGGATCTAAGGTCCAAAGGACTGCTGGACATGCAGATGTACCACGTGGTATACTTAGAGTCTAGAGCTTATGCCAGTTGTACTCTCTGCTGGGTGCTAAGGGTGATGATTTGCCTTTTCAGCTGACCTGCTATAAACTGCATCCTGCGCAGTTGCAGTCATACCCAGGTTGATTTGAAAGTTGTGTAAGATACCTTAGAGTATTTGCCTGGCACATACAAAGCCATGGGTTCAGAGTCTGGCACAGCCACAAAAGAAGATTCATCTATGTTTAGAGCTCAGTGTGATGGGACGGAGTCATTTAATCACAGTTCTTTTAAGTTGGAAACAGTAAGATTGCTGTAAGTAGAGGCCAGCATGGGCTCCATAGTAATATTCTTGCCCTGTCTTGTTTCCTCCCTTGAGTAGTTTCCTTACTCTTCCCCACTTCCGTGTTATATAGTCTGTGCTAGGGATTGGCAGGTGCAGGCACTTGCTGCCAAGCCTAATGACCTCAGTTCAGTGCCCAGGATTCACATGGTGGAAGGAGAGAGAGATAAGCAGTGAGCTCTTATTTCCAAAGATCTGACAAGTAGATAGGCCATGAAACCAGGTAATAGCACAAGGCAGAACAGATAAACATTAAAAAGTATTACCACTTGGAATTTGTTTTTGTTTTTGTTTGAAACAAGGTCTCTGTAGATCAGACTGACCTCAGAAACACAGATATCCCCTGAGTGCTAGAATTAAAGGCATGGCCCATCATGCCCAGTCTCATTTGGAATTCAAAGGAAATACTTCCCCTAGTCAGAGCATGGTAAATTATTTCAATGGGAGAAAAAAAAAAATGCCTCATTTGAAATGCTCTTGAAAGAAATAGAGATAGACAAGCAGAAAGAGTGTGAGCAACAACATTATACATCTAATAAAGGAAACCTAGGAATCAAGGCTAGAAAACTAAGAAGCCCCCCAAATGCTAGGCTGGGGAATTGGTCCTTAACTTCAGTAGGTACTTGGGATAAAAAACAGAAGACTGAGGATGACAAAATTTGCTTTAAACTTTTTTATTTTAACTTGGCAACAAATGTGGGAAAAAAAATAAGAACAAATTAAAATATGAGGACATGAGTTCAATCCCTGAACTCAATTTTGATCCAGAGTATTCTTGGTGGTGTGAGCTTATAGTCCCAGAGACAGGAGGATCCCTGGTTTCAGTGACCAGTCAGCCTGGTGAAAATCATCAAGTCCCAGGTCCCAGTGAAGAGACCATGTCTCATAAAGCAAGGTAGCAGACTTCTGAGGAACATGACCTCAAAGATTGTCTTCTGGCCTCCGCATGCAAACATACATGTATGTACACTTGCACTCACATAAACATACACCTCTAGACATAAACATAGTACACACAAAACACTTGAGCACTGATCCATACCTCTGGATAAGTCATAGAGTACTTGCTCAGCCTGCACAGGAGCTTGGGTTCAACCATCCACACACATGTGAGTGTAAATAAATGTGCATTTCAGCCCTTTCCTTTCTCTTTCTTTTTTTTTTGGGGGGGGGGAGGGGTTCTAGACAGTTTCTCTGTGTATCCCTGGCTGTCCTGGAACTCGTTCTGTAGACCAGGCTGGCCTCAAACTCAGAGATTAAAGGCACATGTCACAATCACCTGGCCCTCTTTCATTTTAAATTATTATTTTTTTATTTATTTTTGTTCTGAAGATAAAACTGAAGACCTTACACAAGTGTGCTTCTAGTGAGCTACATTCTTAGTGCAAGCCTGTTTTTCCAATTTTATGTGACTCAAAAACAACTTCTTAAAAACAACTTTTATGGAATTGGGTGATAGCTCAGTCAGTAAAATGCTTGCCTTTTGCAAGCCTGAGGACTTGAGCGGTCTCTGAAGAACACACGTGAAAAAGGCTGGGTGGGGTCTGGAGAGTTAACTCAGCAGTTAGGAGCACTTGCTGCTCTTCAGAAGACCCAAGTTAGGTTCTGAGCACAAAATATACCTTAAAAAAACAAAAACAAATAAATAAACAAACAAAAACACCTGGGAATGGTGGCAGACACACACCTATAATCCCAGTAGTGTGGAGATTGAGACAGGCTGTTCCCTGGGGCTCACTAGCCAGCCAGCCTATCTTACTTGGTGAGTTCAGAGCCAGTGAGAGATCATCTTTCCTAAAGAAAATAAAATGTGGATGGCCACTGGGGAAACATCACCAAGGCAACATATGTCTATGTACACAAATGTTTACACATGCACACACCAAAACAAGAAAAGTAGAACAAAACCAGCATTTATGGAGAAGTAATTGGTTCATAAAACACTATAAAGAATGCTAACTGGTGGTTCACGCCTTTAATCCCAATACTCAGGAGGCAGAGGTAGGTGGATCTCTGTGAGTTCAAGGCCAGCCTGGTCTACAGAGTAAGTTCTAGGAAAGGCGCAAAAGCTACACAGAGAAACCCTGTCTCGGAGGGAAAAATAATGATAACTGGCCAGTAAATGGACTTTTTGATGTTTTTATTGACATATGTTAGTTATACATGATGATGAGTTTCATTGTGACAATTTTTATTCATCACCCTTTCCTTTCCCCTCTCACACCTACTAATCCTTTCTTCCTAACTAGTTTCTCTTCTACTTTCATACCATGGTTTTTTGTTTTTGGGGGGTTTTGTTGTTGTTGTTTTGTTTTTTGAAGATTTACTTACCTTATGTGTACACACACACACACACACACACACACACACACACACACACACACACACACTCTGTGTATATGCAGGTGCCTGAAGAGGACAGAAGAGGGTATTAGATCTCCTTGAACTGGAGTTATAGGCAGTTGTGAGCTCCCTAGTGTGAGTGCTAGGGACTGAACCCTCTGGTCCTCTGGAAGAGCCAGAAAGTGCTTTTAACTGCTGAATCATCCCTCCAATTTCCACATCTTCTTTTGTTTTTGGTGACCATTGAATTTAATTAGGGTTACTGACAGGGGAATGGGCAATTTACCAGTGGCTACAGGGCAGAAGAAAACGTCCCCCAGCAACTATTAACTGTCTATAGTTCCTCAAATAGAGGCAAGTCTTTGAGAACCCTTCCTCTTACGTTTTTGTTCTTGTTGTTTTGTTTTGTTTTTGTTGTTTGTTGGGTTTTTGAGACAAGGTTTCTCTGTGTTGCAGCTCTGGCTGTCCTGGAACTTGCTTTGTAGACAAGGCTGGCAATTAACTTGCAGAGATCCACCTGCCTCTGTCTCCTGAGTGCTGGGGTTAAAGGCATGTGCCACCACTGCCTGGCACTTTTTTTTTAATTTATGCATATAAGTGTTTTGTTGGCATGTATGTCTTTGGGCCTTGTGTGTGCCTGGTGCCCACAGAGGTTAGAAGAGGGCATTGGAGCCCCTGGAACTGGAGTTATAGACAGTTGTAAGCCCCAGTATGGGCACTGGGAACTGATCTTGAGTCCTCTGCAAGAGCAGCAAGTCCTCTAACTGCTGAGCCATCCCCTTCAATCCCTTTAATCCTTTAAATCTTGGGAAGATGGGCACTGTGTGGCACACACCTAAAGCAAGGGATCATGAGTTTGAGGCCAACCTAGGCCTACATGATGAGATCCTGTCTCAAAAGTAAACAAAGTTTTATAGAACTAATATTACATAATAGTGTAAGTCCTTAAATATTCTACTTAAACTTTACTAAATTAGTTGTATCTATTCTAACATCAGAAAAACAGATTTAATCTATTATCTCTAGGCATCAGACAATGTCACTAAGTTTATAACATGGTATAATTGTGCTGTACACAATAGCCCTATTTTGAAAAACTTAACATGAATATCTATCAACAGAAATAATTGGAAGGGAAGCATCAGAGTAGTGTGTACTCTAATCCCAGCTACACAGGTCACTGGTGAGATGATGGTTTGCCAGTTCAAGGCCAGCCTGAGCAGCTTAGCAAAAACTCCATAGGGGTGGGGGAAGCAATGTTTATAATAGTTTGAACTCTTGTGCTGTCAACACAAAATCCCACCCCACTTTGTAGAAATTACATAGTAAGCAAGTTAATACAGCCACCTCCTTATTGAACCGCCTCATCTCTGCAGGAAATAACAGCAAATATGGCCAGAATCTTTTACAATGCTATTATTATCCATGTGACCTCATAGTCTATTAATAACGATGAGTAAATTGTAGCTTTATAGGAAATGTCTTTTAGGTGACTTACCAGTGAGCTTTAAGGAGTTCCTGTCAATGAAATCCTTAGAGGGAGGGAGATAGTTAGTATGGAGCCTTAAGCTATTGCCTTCTCCTTTTTTTTTTTTATTTTTTATTAATTTTTCAACTTGGCATACAAAGTAATGGAAGTTTCTTATATGTATGTTATTGTACATTGTTCTAATTCATTCCTCCCCTCCTCTGTCTTCTCCATTTTCTTTATAGACTACACATTTATAGCTACCAGCATTTCTGAGATTTATAGGCTCCTTATCTAGTGTTCATGTAGAGCAGCAATATTGCACCCCAACCCCTGCTGCTGTTGTTAATCAGCAGCAATTAAAATTTGATTTACTAATTCCTCACTACTGCCTCTCACACGACTTGTTTTCACTTTTCAGAGTCTTAGGATTGCCACAGCTGTGCATCATGATGTTAGTACCTCCTCAGCCATCTGGCCCAGGGCAAGAGGTACCTAGTGCAGCTCCTTCAAAATGAAAAGTCTCACCTCATTGAGATCAGAGTAGTGTGAGATCTTAAACAACAATCAGGTAAAGAAGGCATGATAGCAGCAGAAATAGAAACAGTCCAAAGAGGTTTTATTAATTGAAGACCCTATTTTTGTTGAATACATATCTGCCCTTTTACTTTCTAAAAGAAAGTAATTCACATTGGTCATGTCAATTAATAAGTTGTTTCTAATTCCAAATTAGATACTATTGGCTGAAGGAATCATAAGCTTTATTTTTGTCTTTCTGTGCTTACTTGTTCTTGGCATATGAACTTCCTTTAAAAAGATATTTTGGAAGCTGGAGAGATGGCTCAGTGGTTAACATCTCTGGCTGCTCTTTAGAGGACCTAGGTTCAGTTCTCAGCACCCACATAGTAACTTAGAACCATTTGTAACTCCAGTTCTGGGGGATCTGGCATCCTCTTTGATCTCCATAGGCACACGGTACACATATATACATGTAGGTAAACCTCTCATACATATAAAACAGATCTAAAAAATTTTAATAAGTAAAATTATCAAAAAAATTTAAAAAAATACTTTGTTCATTCATTTCAATATGAAAGCATATTTCATCCACTGTTCACTTTAGTAAATGTCCTGTGGTCAGATACAGTGTTTTATGCTTGTAATCCCAGCATTGGTAGGCTGAAGTATAAGAATTGCTATGAATTCCATACTAATGAGGGTTACCAGAGTGAGACCCTGACTCAGAAATGGAGGAGGAGGAAGAGGGAAAGAAGAAAAAGAAAGTGTCATGGACATTAATCTTGAAAATAAATAGTAGGCTACCTATTTAAGGAAATGACATTGTCTCGGTTCCTCGTGTAAAAACTTTTATCTGCTCAGTTATTTAACCAATGAAATTATGAGTATGACTGTTTGCTCAACACTCTTTGAACTTTCTGAATTTGATCTGCTTATTAGCTGCTGAAATTACACGAACGTGAAAGCTGAAGGGTGATGCCCAACTTTTGGTTGGCTCCCTCTCTACTTTTGTTCAGTACAGGTTCTCTTTCGACTGATGTGGTGGTTCATTAGTGGAAATGAATACAATCACAGTGCTACTTCTCAGTGCTTTGCAGCAAATGTTAATGTCAAGCTCCAGACAGACACCCTGCAGGAGCACTAATTACTGGATTTTGTTGTTGCTTTCTGTTGCTTTACCTTTCCTTCCATATCTTGGTGTCATGCTTCTAATGCCTAAGCAGACTGCATCATCAGAGCGCCGAGGAGAGTGGGAAATCCAGCCCAGCCGGCAGACCAATACCTCATACCTGACGTCTCACTTGGCCGCAGACCGCCATGGGGGTTCAGTACAGGTACCTACTGTCTTCCCTGGCCTTCTCAGCCTGGCTAGTAGAATGTTGCCTTGCTCTTGCAGTTTGGGTTCCTTTCAGATGGCCACTTACAGCAGGGGTGAGTTGCTTATGTTTAATTGATAATCTCTGTGCTGATTTTCTATCTAAGTGGACTTTGGTAAAAGTCATTTTTTTTTTTTGAGATAATTGCTGCTTTTTGACATTGACTTAGAAACATCTGTGTGATTTCTGTATTGAGTTAACCCACCCTACAATCTTGATCTACTCATGATCTGCAAAATACCATCAAGGTAGAAATGTGTTAGTATCTGAATTATAAAGTCCAGAAACTTCAAATCCTTCCAGTACTTTATTTCTGTTTTTATTTGGGCTAGCATGAGGTTTTCTTTTCTGTTTGGTACCAGGAATATCTTCTGTCTCTTCACTTTTTTTGTGTGTAACTTTTAAAATCCTAACCAGGAAAAAAAATTCAACTGAATATTTTTCTCATACTGATGACCCACTAGTTGAGGTATAGAAATGAACTCTCTGCATTTATGTGTGTGTGTGTGTGTGTGTATACACACACACACATACATACATTTGTTTTTTTTTTTTATACAGGGTTTCTCTGGGTAGCTTTGCGCCTTTTCTGGATCTCACTCTGTAGACCAGGCTGGCCTCAAACTCACAGAGATCCCCCTGCCTCTGCCTCCCAAGTGCTGGGAATAAAGGTGTGCGCCACCACTGCCTGGCAAGAAATCTTTTTAAATTGATGTGGTGGTGCAGGCCTTTAGTTCCAGCATTCAAGAGGCAGAGGCAGGTGAATCTCTATGTGTTCAAGGCTCCTGGTCTACATAGTGTGCTCAAGCCAGCCAAGGTTACATAGAGAGTCCTTGTCTCAAAAAAAAAAAAAAAAAAAAAAAGGAAGGAAGGAAGATAGATAGAAACAAAGAGAATAACAAGAATTGTTTAGAGGCATATGTCTATAGAAAGGTGGGAAAACAGTAACAGCAGCAGAGAATGTTGGAAGTTGAAATACAGTTCAAATAGCAGGAGAAAATTGGATCTTAGTCTATTCACCTTAAAATTTCCCAAAAGGCTCAAGAATGGGCTTCTTTAAGTGGAGGAGTGTTAGCAGGGCATATATTAAAAAAGAGTGGTTGGAAGTCTAAGAAAGCAAAGATCCCTGTATGTTCCCTCCTTTCTTCACCAAGAGACTAAATCTTTATTTGGAGAGGGGAAGTGGGGGTCAGACCATCCCATCTGATTCTGCATCCTCCTACCCCCACCTCCCACCCTCCAGCACAGGCCTCACCTTGTTTTAGGGGCAGCATCAGGCAGGACCTGAGGCATTGTGGGTGAAGACATAAGTCAGTGACATACAGCTGGTCGATTTCTTGTTCAACTCTGATGCTTCACACCTGGAAATGCTGAGTGGCTGATACTAAAATAAAAAACCACAGTGGTAAAGCTGGGGAGGCGGCTCAGCAATTTAGAGCACTTTTTGCTCTTGCAAAGGACGCAGGTTTGGTTCCCAGCACCCACATTGAAGCTCACAGCCATTTGTAACTCCAGTTTCAGAGGCTCTAACACCCTCTTCTGCTTCCATGGGCATCAGGTTCACAGACATATATGCAAGCAAAATGCCAGTACATGTAAAAAAATTGTTAAGGAAGAAATACAAAGGAAAAATTGGTAGTTTTGTTTAAGAACAAGGTGTAATTTTTCTGATAGAAAAACATGACAAAATAACATCAAATTAAAGAGAAAGCACACATACACACAAAAAGCTGGGCAGTGGTGGTGCACTCCTTTAATTCCAGACTAGCATTTTGAGGCAGAGGCCAGTGGATCTCTATGAGTTCAAGGCCAACCTGGTCTACAAAGTGAGTTCCAGCAAAGCTAGAGCTACGCAGAGAAACTTTGTCTCAAAAAAAACAAAATTAAACACACACACCAAAACAAATGAACAAAGAGAAAGCAGTGAAATAGCAACACAACACAAAATGAATTATCTAAAAGTGCACAGATCTCTCATTGTAGAAAAGTGGATGTGCTTCCCTCTTCAGAATTACCAAATTAACAATGTGCTAACAGTTTCTGTATCAGTCAGTGCCACAGAGAAGTTCTTTGGGGAGTTACACAGTTTTTTTCCTGAAAGTTGAGGATATTTACATATCATATTCAAAATGAAATTAACATGTCTTCTATAAAAGACGAATTAAAAAAAGAAGCTAAGGCATTTGTTTGTTTGTTTGTTTGTTTGTTTTGAGACAGGGTTTCTCTGTGTAGCTCTGGCTGTCCTGGAACTCACTCTGTAGACCAGGCTGGCCTCGAACTCACAGAGATCTTCCTGCCTCTGCCTCTCATGTACTGGGATAAAAGGTGTGTGCCACCACTGCTTGGCTGTTTGTTTTTGTTTTAAAGTGGGGCTCTAGATTAAAGGATATGAGATATGCTTGGAGGTAAGATACAGTGCTTAACAGGGAGAGTAGATGAGTAGTATCCTTACTGACTGGTTTGGCTGCTTTAGAAAGCCAAAAGCTAGGTCTGGACATTCCAGGCAAGAAGTAAAGGAATATACTCTGGAAAATATAACCAGCCAGAAAGAAAATTAGAGGGTACTAATAGCATTACTCTCCCGCAACTGAAATGGCCTACCCAAGTCATCCTGAAGTATAATCCAGAGTTGTCAAGACCAGCTGTTCTCATGGTGTCAATTGATATGCACCCTCTTCTTTAAAAAAAAAAAAAAATATTTATTTTGTATATATATATGTCTGCAGGCCAGAAGAGAACACCAGATGGTGTTCATTACAGATGGTTGTGAGTCACCATGTGGGTGCTGGAAATTGAACTCAAGACCTCTGGAAGAGCTGTCAGTGTTCTTAACCGCTGAGCCATCTCTCCAGCCCCACACCCTCTTCTTTTCAACAGTTTTTATTAGGGCCTTGGAGAGATGGCTCAGTAGTGAAAAGCACATGCTGCTCTTGCAGAAGACCTAAGCTCATTCAGTTCCCAGTACATCAGGCTCCTAACTCCAACTCCAGGGCATCTCACACCTTCTTTTGGTCCTCCCTGCACTCATATATGCATACCCATTGTCCTAGTTGGCTTTCTTTGATAAACACCTGACCTGAAACTTGGGCAGGAAAGGGTTTATTTCTTTCAGCTTGCAGTCACTGAGGGAGGCAAGAACCAAAGCAGAGACCATTAAGAAACATTGTGTACTGCTGGCTTACTTAGCCTGCTTTTTATACAACCCAGGACCACCTGACTACTGTAGCCTGGGCCATCCCACAGCAGTCAACAATTAAATTGAGGCCCTCTTCCCAGATGACCCTTGCTTGTGTCAAGTTGACAAAAAATTAACTGGCACACCTATACTGGACATACATAACATATAATTAAAAGTAAATCATCTTCCAAAGTTTTATTAGCATACATTATATAGAATTGGCTTCACTATGACATTTTCATACATTATATAATGTATTTACCACCCATTACCCTCTGTTTCTCTCACTCTGCAAACCCCTTCTTTATAACTAGTGTGTGTGTGTGTGTGTGTGTGTGTGTGTGTGTGTGTGTGTGTGTACACAAATGCATGCCAATGAGTTTAATTCCAGTTGTTTACAGGAGCATGGGCAACTTACTGGTGCCTACAACACTGACAGAAATGTCCCTTCCTTCCCACAGTAATCACTAACCACCTGTTAATCCTCAAGGAGGAGTGGAGACGTCACCTGATAACCCTTGCTTCTCTGCTCATATTAGAAGTGGTGGAGGGGCTGGAGAGATGGCTCAGCAGTTAAGAGCATTGGCTGTTCTTCCAGAGGACCCAGGTTCAATTCCTGGCACCCACACTGGCAGCTCACAACTTTCTGTAACTTCAATTCCAGGGGTCTGACACCTTCACACCAATGCACACAAAATAAATTTAAATTATTTTTTTTAAATAATAGTAAATAATGTTTAGAAAGAAAGCTCCTAGAAATTAAAACAATCTTAAAACTCAATTAGTTTTGAATATAAACTTAAGAAAACAGAGCAGGCCGGGCGGTGGTGCGTGCCTTTAATCCCAGCACTCAGGAGGTAGAGACAGGTGGATCTCTGTGAGTTCGGGTTATCTTCGGACTTCACATGTATGCAGTGACAGGTATGTGCCTCACCACCATTTGAAATAAATATATAAACTAACATTTTTTAAGAGAAAAAGGTGGACTTAGAAGGAAAGTAAGACTGCTGAAAGAATGAGTATGGGCTTCTTTAAAATAATTTCCAGGGCCCTAATTTTTTTTTTTAACCAACTTAAAATTTCTATACTTCATGAACCTTTGCATATGAATTTACACAGGATGTATGTTACCAAGATGAGTGAAAACAAGAAGGAAGCATAGACTGGATCTAGGGAACAAGAGATCCTACCCAAGCCGTTTTGTCCATGTTAAAATAGGAGAGAACTAAATCCACAAAATTTCGGGTAGAGGCAGGCAGAGCTGCAGCCAAGAAGTGGTCGTAATAAAGACCAGAAACTAAACTATTACCCGCTGAGGAGTTAGTGAATTATTTTAAAGAAGGAGATTAAGAGCTTGGAACAAGGACGCCTTTAATCCCAGCATCCGGGGAAGGAGCCATCTCCGTGGGACGGAACCAGAACAGACCTGAACACTCTGTCTGAAGCCAACTCAGGACCCAGTTGCTGGTCCTGTGAAACCCAATAACTTGGAGGCGTTGGGGAGACTACCCTACTAAACAACCTGCTCAGCTGAGATCCATTCAAGAGAGGATTCAGAATCCTACAGTCTGCAGTCTGAGGAAACAAGATCAGCTGAGGAGTTGACGAAGGAGCAAAACATGACCTGAGAACACAAAAGAAGGCGCTGCCCAGCCACCGAACCAGATCACTACACCGAGTGGGTACAGGTAAGCCCCCATCTCCAAACCAGCAGATCAGGTCTGTAGCCCCTAGGCCCTACCCATCGGAGTCCCAGGGACCAGACAGCTACCTTTCCCTG